CGCGCGCCCAGTCCCAGGCGCGGCCACCGCCCGGTGCTCCGAAGATGCCGCTGCAGCCACAGCTTCTCTGCTCTCCACCGGCACGTCATGGCCACCCCTTGGCGCCCCCGGCTCCACTCAGGGCCGACACCTTCCCCATGCCCTCACCCATCTCCTGGTGACAGCTGTTAGTGCCACCTTCCCTCCTCCCAGAGCTCAAGCAGGGGACTGCCTGCGGTGACCTTTCCCCACGGGGTCTCAGGCGGGAGCGGGAAGGGCAGGAACTGGAGGAACCCTGGGGTTCCCCCTTTAGGGACCTGATGCAAAGTTTCCTGAAGCCGAGGGGCAGAGGGGGTGTTCGGGGCAGGCAGCGGGAGGGCAGAAGAGGGGGCAGGGAAGCTTGAGGTCGAGCCCGGCTGAGCTTGCCAGGGCGGGAGCACAGGCCCCTTCCGCGTGGGCGAGAGGCACCGAGTTCTGTGTGGGCACTGTGTGTGCACAGGCCCGTGTGCTGTGTGGGCTTTCAAGGAATGCACAGAGCTGTGTGTGTGTGTGTGTGTGTGTGTGTGTGTGTGGTCTGAGGACAGTAGGACCTTTCAGTGTCTGTGTGCAGCCTTGATAAGAATGGGACCTCTGGGGGGTGGGGAGATGTGTGCAGTGCATGTACACATGGGAGACTGAGGGCTGTGTGTACAGTGTGCTGTATGCAGTGTAGCATTTATTGGACAATGACAGGGTGTGCACGCTGACACAGTGGGGATTGTGGGGTGTGAGTCCAGTGCAGTGTCCTCAGTACTGTGTCCCCATTCCCCAGGAGATTGTGGCCCAGATCTGAGCTCTGGCCTCCTTAGTGTGCTCCTTAAGGTGGGTCCACGCTCAGAAATGGGCCCACAGCCTTCTCCCCTGGGCGTCTCAGTCCTTCTGCATGATCCTTACTTGCAAGGACAAGCACATCCTGTGAGCCTAGCAGAGAGCTGGTGGGCCCCACCCCAGGTCTTGGTCAGAAGTAGCGTGGCTCTGGACTCACAGGGCAGCCACCAGAGCCACAATGGGAAGCACATCCTTTCTGACGTGGCCCTGCCAATGCCGTGGTAACTAGTCCGATGCTCTGTGCAGCTCGAGTGCTGAGGGGATCCTCGGGGGGCCTGGGGCCATCGGCCTGGCTTCATGTGGGGCTTCCTGGGGAGGCCTGGCTTCACTCAGAGGAAAGCTGTCCCTGCCCCGCCACCTGCCTCTGGGTGTGTGTGTGACTGTGTGCAGGTGTGTGGTCCCTGCAAGTGCACATGGGAGGGGAGGATAGGGTGGTGAGGGCCACACCTTTGTGTTTAGTGCTTTTAGAGAGGGGGGTGTGTGTGAGAGAGAGAGAGAGAGAGGGAGAGAGAGAGAGAGAGAGAGAGAGATGCCAGTATTTGTTGTCATTGTCTTCTCTATTTTTTTCAAGGTCTGTGTTTGGATTATGTTTGTCTCACTCCCTACCGAGGTCTGCTGGGTCTATCATCTTAAATCTGTGGCTCTCCCACACCTGGTTGGGGCCCAGTGTCTGTACCTGCCCTCTGTGTGCTTTTCCTGGGGTCAGGTGGCCCCTGGTCTCTTTTATCCCCATGGGAGTGCAGCTGAGAGTGTGCCAGCCCTTGCTGCTGCTGCTGCTGCTGCTGCTGGTGTGTGTGTGTGTGTGTGTGTGTGTGTGTGTGTGTGTGTGTGTGCGCGCTCACCCGGGCATAATCCCCAGTGTATAGGTACTCGTGTTGGCATGTCTGGGAAATAGGTAACAGGAAAACAAAAGGATGGGTAAAACAAAAACAGTGAGAGCATTTAAAACAGTTCCTACTCTGACATAGTTTTAGAATTACCAAAAACTCTGTGAAAGCAGTCCGAAGCATTTCCTGTGTTCCCTTTACCTGGTGTTCCCCAGTGCTAGCGCGCAAATACACGTGTAATCGTGTACTGCTGCCTCTCTCCCTACTTTTCAACCCCTACCACACCTCAGGGCGGTGTTGGCTGTGAGGTCTCCCGGTGCAGAGCACCTGTGGGGCCGGCTCCCTGGGCCCAGCGACTCACTCCAGCCCTTCACCGTCCTCTCCTTGCCTGGCTCCTGCCACCCCAAGGCTCACACCCTGTCTGCTTCACGCCACCTGTCAGTGGCTTCTGCTGCAGGGCCACCATTCCCAGCCTCTCCCAGCCCTGGCCTCGCTCAGACTTCTCCTGCCCTGGCACAGTGCATAAATCACCTTTCCTGCTGCATTTGGAGGGTTCCTACCCCCCAGAAGTCTTGGGTTTGATGATTGTGGGGTTGCCCTCCCTCTCCTGCTTTATTTCCCTGCCGGCCCCCTTCTGTTCCTGTCTGGTTTTGTTCTTGCTCCTTCCTTCTTCCTTTGTGGCTGTGGGAGGTTTGGCCTGTGGAGAAGCCCTCTCTGCCCTCTGCTTCTCCTTGTCCCTCCCACCCTCACAGCTATCCATCCGCAGACCACCAGGGCTGTTCCCAGGGCCCTGGGCTCTCCCCCTTCTACTAGGGTCACTCTGCACCCCTCTCGGCTCTCCCCCTTCCCCTTCCTCCCCTTCCACAGCCAACAGAGCTGTGCCAACATGCCCCAGCCACCCAGGGCCCAGTGCTCATGCCTGCTGTTTGTGTGCTTTTCTTGAGGTCAAGGACAAGCCCCCATGCCTACCTTTCCTTGAACAGGATGGTGGACTTGGTGGCCAAGGGAGAAGCCTGAGTTTGGGGCACAGCCGTGATTTCCTGGGAAGGCTGAGGCAGACGCTGCTGGGGCCTGACAGATGCCTTTGCAGAGGGTTAAGTGCATGTGACAGGCAGAGACACTCGTTTATTTCCCAGTCACCGCACTGAGAGAAATGGAGCTGCCTCCCTCCTCCTGAGCCGGGGAAGCCGGCTGTGTTGATGGTTTATTGGGCTGTGTTGATGGTTTATTGAGAGGTCTGAGCCCTGATCTTCAAATACAGCTGCCTGGGCCTGGGCTGGGCTGCCAGGGGGGTCCTGACGGGGTGGAGGGGCAGGGGGAGAGGCACCCTGGGAAGGGAGACACGGAGACCCCAGGCGGTGGCCCACATCCTGGCACCTGGAGACGATCATCTCTGCCTTCCCCGCCAACACTGATCTCTCAGTGGAGCCCACACATCTCAGCACCGGCTGTCTCTCTGACAGGCGAGGGGGCTGCACTGGCGGCGTGGCGGGAGGGAGCCAGGCTGCCTGACCTACATTCCCACCTCGAGGTGCTGAGCACATTTACTCAGCCTCTCCCTGGAGAGGAGCACGGGGCGCCCACTGCCCTGCTGGGTGGGCCGTCACCTGCATCCCTCCTGCTCCCTACAAGCCAGCCTCCCCAACGCAGCCAGAGTGACTCTTAAAAACACCAGCCAGGTCGTGTCATTCCCTCTGGAAAAGCTTCCAGGGGCTTCCTATGGAACGGAGAAGGACAGCCCTTCTTCCCACAGTCCCAGGTGCGCCCCTGCCCACTCGCAGACTTCACCCACGGGTGTCTTCCCATCGGTTCTCTCCAGCCGCCTGCCCCTTGCCCCCACCCCCTGCCCCCTGCCACCAGGCTGTGCACCTGCTGTTCTCTCCACCTGTCATGGTGGCTTCACACCGCAGGCTTCTCTTGGTCACTCGGGTCTCCATTTAAATGTCCCTCCTCAGAAAGGCCTGGCTGCCCAGTAACTGGATCCCTCAGTGAGTTGCCATCATGTTTTTCACAGGACTTGTATGCAAGTCATTGGATATGTGACTCGGTGATGAGTGAATGAGGCTCCAACTCTTATCTTACGTTAGTCTGTGCCAGCCAGTCTAGGCCCCCGTCTTCTTCCTCCCGGAAGGTGAAGGCAGCTAGAGGGGGAGGGGGCCTGTGCCCCGGGCTGTGGCTTGGAGCCCCAGACTCTGGGGTGTTGCTAGAACTATTGATTAGCCTAATGGATCTCACCCCGGGCTGCACATTTGAATCACTTGGGGAGCTTTTAAACTAGCCAGTGCCCTGGAGGCCTTGGGCTTGCCCCAAACCAATTAAATCAGATCCCTGGTGTAGGGCCCAGGGAGCCTGTTTTCTGAGGCCCCCCACAGTTATGGTAACATGTGGTCTGAGAGCCTGAGAGCTGCGTGAGTCAGCACCAAGGGTAGGGGCTGTGTCTTAGCTCTGCAAACCCACCCCACCCCCACTCTGGGTGGGTGCCTGCCTGGAGGGGACACCATAAAGCCTGTGTGCCCTTGTCACGGCTTCCCCTCAATCCCCAATTCCTGCAGCTCTGCCCAAGCCTGGGCCTCTC